ATAGTAAGTATGACATCATGTCTATATATAGTAAGTATGACATCATGTCTATATATAGTAAGTATGACATCATGTTTATTTATAGTTCAGTAAGTGTGACATCTTTCCTTATAGTCATAGTTAATAGTTAAAGAATCCTAACCAACCACAATACAGCGCGCGCTTGTGTTATTGTTTACATACGTTTAAATGCGACAAGCATACAATAGATTTTATTGATACAGTGTACCTGTGAGGTACTTCGTTCAAGGTATTTCTGTCCAAAMTGAAAGGATGAAAGACGATTCGCGCTCACTTTAAGAAATCGACATTTTCGTGTTCACCTAAAATGTGGACACAGTGGAGTTGGTTGTAATTCGTTAAGCATGACATGTGTCTATGTATGGCCAAGTCGCGCTCACTGTGGCAAGCATTATCCTTTCATCGATGCGAAAACTTTATTTTGTAAGTCATTGAAGAAGACTGTATTTTGTAGGTCCTTCACGATTGTCTTGTCAATATCGACAAACAACAGATGGAAACTGCTGCGTGTTTCCGTTTATCTATAAGAAAATACCACGGTATACTTGTTTGGCTAAATCCACCGGGTCTTTATTTTGGTGTTCCACGACTGCAAACTTTGATAAAGACGGAAAGCAATCCACTTGTAAAGGTATGTTGATTTTTTTTCAATTTTTTCCTGCCCGCCTGATTGATTTGTACGCCTACCCGCCTGATTACAGACTGAGTAAATAGTTGTTGAAATTCCAGAATTCTTTATCACGGTTTTCAGTTGATGTGGAATGCAATAGTGTACAAAATGGATGGTGCGGCTGGAAAAACGTATCAGGAAACAGTTGGATGCGAGGAATGAGAAAAGAGATGTGCGCTTTGGAAAAACAGATCGATGATGTCATTAACAACACACAAGGGAAAAGCAAACTAGGTAAAGATTGTGATGATTTTAATCGATGAAGCACGCAGTTGTCTGGATGGCGAACAAAATACTCGCGATGCTGGTCTCTTAAATGAATTTACGCAATACGGTTTATCAGGACTCGTTTGGAAACCAATCAAGGATGCGTGCTTATTTTGCGTACCTAGGCAAGACGCTTTATACAGTCCAGTGCCATTCGCCATAAAAGCATATATACACAGCTATTTCAAAAAACGTTGTCGAGGAGAACGGCGAACGGCGATTGTCGAAKGGWCATTGCACGACCGAAAGGGACCATGGTTACACTGTTTTGATAAACATYATTCACTTATTGGATTCAACTTACTCCTCGTTCATTTCACATGCGAAAACCAATCTTCAACGTTGTTCTTTTCAGTGCTTAAGCAAAATGAATATCAAGTCAGCTTTCACGAGGGACATTCAGAGTACATCAACTACACAGGRATTCCAGACATGTTTTCGTATACTGTTTGTATGTGGGTCAAGACTGCTGACACTACCAACGCYGGAACTGCCTTTGTTTATCAGACCAAATATCAAGACACCAATACAACAAAAGTCGCCATTGCAATGATGGATTATAGGAAACTTTCTTTTATGGTTAACACAAGAAAAGTGTGAGTATATTTGATTCTTTGGTCTGTTATTATAGACACACGCGGCACACATGGTGGTTCGCGTAAGTTTCTAGAGATTTGTCGCACGTGCACGTTCCTTTGTAATTCCACGCTTGACAATCCTTTTCGGTCTGTTTTTCACCGCTTGCTGAGGCCAATGGACGCGTAGAGTTGTTCTTTGTCGTTGTTGACTTTAAGTCGGAGTGCTTAAAGAAAGTTGTACTGGCATTCCTTATTTCGTCAAACTGAAACCATTCGAGACGTCGTTGTTCCACTTGCCTTGCAATGTATGAGTAGAAACTGCGCACGCTATTCCAAGAGTAGCTAATAGCTGGTTGCGAGTAATTCCAGGATGGCGATCATGTTTGTTTTGGCCTCGATGTCGTAAGACTTGATCATAGCAATATACCCCGAGAAAAAACTCGGCATATCTAGTAATTGAAAATCAGGGCTGGATGACATACCTGCTTCGAAGTTTTGAGGCCAGTCGATTACTCTCTTCTTGACCTCGTGCCCGGGTTTTCGCTCTTGATCCTCTGTTGCTGTTCCAGGGGGTGTGGTGCTTGCCTGTTGTAGTCTCAGGACTTCGAGCTCTAGGAGCAACTTTTCTTTTTGCAACCTCACAAGTTCCATTTCCTGCGCCAAGGATGTGGTTCTAGGTGTCGATGGGGTCGATTTTGGCTTGGGCAATGATGGAAAATCCTCGTGGATGTCAAGATGGTCTAGTTGCGCTAGATGATCAAACAAAGTCGAGCGTGGAGTTTCTTGCTTTATTTTGGTTTTTCGTGTGGTTGGCTTTGACATGTTGATTTGTAGTTCGTTGCTGAGTTTGAGCTTTCGGTTGAGATTGTCTGAATGACGAGAGGCCGTTCGCTCGGAGTTGCACAATAAAAGGATAGAGCTGACTAGCTAGCGGGACTACAACTGATGGCCACGTAGTTGGCGGCACGATATAAGGGGGCTAGTTCAATCTCTGGTAATTACCCATCATCACCTAACCGGTTATCATGATCCCATTAAAAAATGACAACAAATGTGTGTTAGGGACTCGATTTGCATTAAATACGGATAGATTGGTTGGTTGGTTGGTTGGTTTGTGGGTGGGTTGGTTGGTTGGTTGGTTGGTTGATTGGTTGATTGGTTGGTTGGTTGCGGGTTGGTTGGTCGGTTGATTGATTGATTGATTGGCTGATTTGTTGGTCGTTTGGCTGGCTGGTTTGTGGGTTAGTTGATTGAGTGGTTAGTTGGTTGGTTGGTTGGTTGGTTGATTGAGTCGTTGGTTGGTTGCTTCGTTGGTTGTTTGGTTAGCTTTCGACGAATACTTAGAGCAGTACAGTTAATGCATCCATTGCTGTTAATGTTTTTCTGTTCAGGACTTCGTCGATACGTTACAACGACGGTTCATGGCATTATATTTGCTTAAGATGGGACCACGCTAGAAAACACTTCTCCCTGAATATCGATGATCGAAAATACTCCAAAACATTTTCAACATTTCCAAATACTGTTATTCCTGGTAATTATAGCATACATGTAAATATGTAACCATGAATTGATTCCTTACTATATATTTCAAGCATAACGAACTCAGAATTTTTTTTCATTCGACTTTGCAAAGATTCAATTGCTCAATTGGCCGTGTGCAGCGTGTAAAGCATGATGGGAGTTGTATTCTTAACTCTTTTTATAACCCATAAAAAAATCTTCCTAAAAGCCGTTTTTATGTTATAAACAGTACAAATATACTTCTTTTTTGTACAAAGAAAAAGCACGAACGCGGAGAGGAGGACTGTTTAAGCAGACACGAAAATGTGCGAAGACTACAACTCCCGTCGGCGTGCTTTGTTGAACAAAATGGTGTCGCTGCACATCGCTGCATTTTGAGTTCAGATTGATCATTATCCATTATATTTTCACCTTTCAGTTATACTATTGTATCTTTGGTKCAGGTGGAGGTGAACTGATTATTGGCCTGACAGCACAACAAAAACAGTCTATTGGTAAAGATTATGGTCAGTTTGTCGGCAACATCACTTATTTTGTCCTTTGGAATCATCATTTGTCTGACAGTGACATCAAAAGAATGAGCTACGATTAYAGAGGTACCTTTGGGTCTCCTGTGGCTTCATGGGAAGTGCTTCTATCCTCCTTGGTTGGTAACTCGTATATTATCCAATCCTCTACTTGTAGAAAAGACTTTGAAGGTAGAAAACAAGCTTTTTACTACGGGTGTGGGTGGGACTCCGGAGTAAAAGTACCGAGGATGCTCGTCGGATCTCTTAGGGGTAAAAATTTAGGATGTCGGAAAAGAAGAGAAAGAGCGCATCAATATTGATTTTCGTCTGCGTTTTTATCATTGCAACTGATTTAATTTAACAATATTTGTTGTGCAATCTGTTAGAGGTTAAAAATCAGTCAGCCACGCCCTTTTTTCAAGATCTTTTTTCAAGATCTTTTCGGGATCTTTTAGGGATCTTTTTGAAAATTTCTGACGAGCATACCCGGTATTTTTACCCCGGAGTCCCCCCCCCCGGGCATTTTCACGTGATCTGTATGATTAGTTTTTCTAGTCAAGACATCATATAGTTAAATATTCGTAAAGCTGATATTTTTAGTGAAAATAACATTCGAGGTTTCTCTTTATAGTGGAAGTAAGAAAAAAGGTATTTTATGTCTATATTTGCTTTTATATATAATTATATGATAAACAGAATATTACATGGTCGCTTGGAGATACGAATTTTATCTTCTCGTGTTGAAGATCTCTCCGTTCGCTACACTCACTCGTGAGAGATCTTTTCGACACTCAAAGGTAAAATCCGTATCTCCGCGCACCCATGTAATATCCTCTATATAATCTACCTATCTACCTATTAATCTAATGTCTTTTTTCTGCTACAGGGCCGCGTATCATGCTGAATTTAATGACTGGTGGTCATCAAGATGTGTCTTCAGTGTACGAGAGCATACTATTCGACAGATCTTCCCGTCATCACACCATGTGTTTACAATTTTCTTACAAAATATACAGTCCTGCTAGTCATRCACTACCGACACTACGGGTCTATCAGCTTTTAAAGTCAGATAACTATCTACCAATACTAGTGTGGGAGCTTAGTAACGAAACTACTGCACAAGGCATGTGGACAGAATCTGAGGTTTTGATCACTGGTTTGTCGGATTTTAAGGTAACTAAGTCAGAAACTACCGTAGCTGTGTAAAAAAAAAAAAAAAAACACCGTAAAAAGGTACTAGGTGAAACAACTTACATTCCTCGGAGGATTAAAGTCCGAAACGTCAGTAAGTTGTTTCACCTACTTTTTTACGGTGTTAAATTTATCTTTTTACACAACTGTTTCTTGAGAAACACCGACGCAGCTCACACTACTTTACCGCTAGCTTCCATCACTGAAACTACTGTACTTGTCTCGTACCTTGAGACCTTTGACCGTGTAACATTGATTGGTTTTTTTTTTCAATATGTTGTAGCTTCGATTTGAAGGTTTGGCAGGACGAGATCYTGGCTACATTACCGTAAGAGATATTCGTTCAGTTGATGGTTACTGTAGATTCACAAAGCCTATAGGTAATTTCCGTCATGACTGTCCAGATCTTACTCGTCAGCAATCGTTTTACTCACTTGCGTTTCAAAGCGACATTATAATGACGTTCGTTTATTGCTATATAGCACTACAAGAGAGAAACGCGAGAGAGTACTGACATTGTTTCAGTTGATGAAGGGATGGATGGAGAGAGAAAGAGAAAGGGAAGGGATGGAGTGGAGGGAGTATAGTATGGACGAATAACTGATTTATTGATCTATTTGATCAGTTCATTCATTTTATCCTTTATTATATCAATTCATTCATCAGTTCGTTCTCATTTAGCTGATGGTTGATTGACTGATTGAATGATTAATTGATTGATTGATTCCTTGAATGACTGACTGACTGACTGACTACTAACTGATTGATTGATTGATTGCTTGATTGTTTTATTGATTTATTGGTCTATTGATTGATTAAATGACTGACTGATTGATTCAATGGTTGATTGGTTAAATGACTGACTGRMTGATTGATTGATTCAATGATTGATTGATTCATCAGTRTGCAATGAAACGCGGACCTCATCAAGTGGCTATCTCTTCTCACCACAATATCCAAACACATACAGTCCCAATGTTTCATGTACGTGGCGAATACATGTGAACCCAAATAGTATCATACGTCTCCATTTCCTGTTCTTCGATCTTCAAGACCATCCAAAATGTACTAAAGATTACGTAACAGTTTCTGATAATTCTAAAAGACTTGGTAAATTCTGTGGAAGTAGATATCCCGAGTTTGTGGAGTCGACTGGAAACGTAATGATTGTCACCTTCAAGAGTGATGGATTCATTGGACGAGTGGGATTTAAGGCTAGATATAAATCAAGACAAGGTGAATTATGATGTTGTGATTATAATCATGGTAGTAGGAATCATAGTAGGACTAATAGAAGCAGCAGTATGAGAAATGAAATTGTTCATTCTTACCCAATATTACGTCTTTCAAAGTTCTGCTCTCCTTTTTTTCTATTCATCCCTTCCCACTCCCTCCCTTTCTTGCTCCCTCCCTCTCTACCTCCCTTGCTCCCTTCTTCCCTTTGCTCCCTTCCTCCCTTCCCCATTCCTCTCTTCCTTCCTTCCTTTCTTCCTTCCTCCCTTCCTCCTTCTCTTGCTCCCTCCCTCCCTTGCTGTCTTGCTCCCCCTCCTAACCCTAACCCTAACCCTCTCTTCCTTCCTCCCTCCCTTTTTTACCCTTTCTTCTGGATTCTCTCTATCTTTTCAATTCCTCTTTCGTCTTCTTTAATTCTCTTGCGATGTGTTTCCTTGTTTAGTTATATGCTACTTGTCATTACTACTTATTGAAATATAATATCTTTTAGTTAAAAGAACCGAGGACCAATGCATGTCATACAAAGGTTGGTTTGAACAKCTCATTTTTTAATTCTTAAAAAATWATTRTTRGTAAGCCTTTAAAAAGTATTATTAATTCAGTATCCACCAGCATTGATGCGCCAAAAATATTGTATGTGTAACGCATTCACTGATGAGCGGTTTCACCTTTGGGCTACCCGATTCCTGCACAAGGTGCATTCATGTGCAAAGGCCTGTTTACACTTGATYTTTGAAGCGCGAATGTCGCGCGACAATCGCCACTCTGTTCTCGCGCATTTCAAATCGTAAGTGTAAACAAATCGCCTCGAGTTGCAGCTAAATTTCAAGCATGTTAGAAACTCAGGCGATTGTCGCGCGACAATATCGCTGCAAAAATCGCAAGTGTAAACGCATCCATTTATTGATGCAACACGATCATATCTGGGCTATATTCATATTAACTGATTGGGAATTTATATACCAGGATGTCCTATTGGGTGYCAATGTGCTCATCTATGGACAAGRCAACATGGCGCCGTAGTAGTAAGATCTGGTCACGATGTCAAGATGACAGCTATCCCACCTAAGCTTCCCTCGGAAACTCAAACTTTGTAAGTTCTTAACCAGCTAATTAACTGCCATTTCAACTCGTTTACTGGTCCTCGACCATCCACTTTTGTGATAAGTTTCTCTTTCTTCTTTAGTTTAATTTTTACATCCATACATTCACTTTATTCATATCTTTCATTACATAGATCATACAATGCGGTCGCTGCAGAGCTATCATCATCATCATCATATCTGTTCGCGCCAGTCGGCCTTCACCCACCCCCTCCCTTTCCTGCCCTCTCTATCTCTTGCTGTCGTTTTGGCTCCATTCCAAGTCTTCCATCCTGCGTTGTCCTTTTCTTTTAGTACCATTCTTCTCTTCATAGCTGCAGAACTATGTCGTAAAATATTTGATAATTTTTTTTCAGGCTTCTTGGACGCAACAGGGTATCAAATCTACACAAGTTTGACCTGTCAGGTGACTTTTCACTRAATCTTGAATACCTGTAAGTTAATACTTCTCGTTAAAAACTAAAATAGAATTCTCCCTTTCCTCGTACTCAAAGTAATTCTGTATCAAATTTTCTGGATCAACTTTCATCGTGTTGGACAGCAATCCATTCTTTGTTGATTAAACTTCACGCGCAAGAAGGAGCAGAAAACGATTGTTTAGTTTTGGAGAAACACTCCACAAGCAAGAGAACTACTCGGTGCGCTCATTCTCACCATTCCTCTCTGTTTATCAGACACAATGTTCGTTCTACGTTTTTGAAATAATGCACAGGCAGCCCAGTATATAGTACAAGACACTGTGGTGGTTTTTACTCATAAATTTATTGTTTTCTTTTAGGGATATGTCGAACAACATTCTCATTGACATTCAAAAACAAGTATTCTCAAGTCTCAAGAACGTGAAAGTTTTGTAAGTTTTTTTCGCGTGTTTTTATAGGGTGGTTTTCATTACCCCTTCAAACAAAGTACAATAGTCAAAGTGGATAAATTTTAATGTGTGACACACTGAAGAGACAAAGAAAACCGTGAACAATGTAGAGTGATAATATAGTTCATGGGTTTAGGGACTGCGCAGTATTTAACAGGAGGGGGATGTGGGAGGAGKGGGAGGGGGAGAGAGGTGAGAAATAAGGCGAAAAATCAAAAGAGTTAATTACAACCCCCCTCGCAAACGAAATACATTACGCTCTGCCCCCCCCCCCTYCCTCTGGATTCTAAACCCCCCTCTCCTGATAAATATTGCGCAGTTCCTTAAGAAAAACTTAGYATAAGAGGCCAGCAGCCTCACATTGCAACCATGAAAAACTAATACCTTATCTACGTTTGCTGTTATTGCTATTAGGAGGCTTAACTCTAACTTTCTACGAATATTACATCATCAAGTATTTTCTGAAACAACTGCATTAACTACGTTGTAAGTATTGTTTTATATTGCATGTACCTAATCAAGAAGTAGAAGTATCCATGGTGCTATCACGCTGTGCAATTTTCTCAGCAACTTCTCTCGCAATACCATTGCGACAAACCTTGTCGAGAAAATCAATGCAAGTTGTTATATTTTGTGGGCAAGATAATCTGGGAGCTAGAATCAATATATTGGACATTCGAAGTGAGAATTTGCGCAAGCTCTAACAGCGTATGTGACTCGCTCGATAATTGCATGAAAAGTTGCCGGGTTATGCACTCTGCAATAGCATTGCATGCTGCTGTAATGCGTTGCGTAAAGTAGTCCTGAGTTCTAGTTCGATACAAAGGCACGGATACCTTTTAAAATTTAAAATGGCGCAGGGAGCCATATGAAGATGACTATTTTAAAAGTGCGCAAATTTGTCAACACAGCATTTACAGATATAGTATTGCTTGATCTATAAAATTTATTTTTTGCTTTTTTTCTTCTGTAGAGATCTTAGTGACAATCTAATCAGCAGAATCGATTCARCTTTATTTACACCATTGAGATTACTGCAAATTTTGTGAGTTCATCACCATTTCCTTTCCATTCTTCTTGTTTTTCTTCTTTTTTTCTAGAATTTTTAATCATAGATTATTAGCATATTTGATATTGACTTTCTTCTTTAATATTCAATAGGAGTCTACGGTCCAATAAGATTTCGTTCCTGGACGGACGCACTTTTTCCAGTAATGGAAACCTGACTGCACTGTAAGTAAGTGATAAGAAGGTCGTGACCACCTACTTCCCATCAAAAGTTTCATTGATAGGACCCTCCCTAAAAATTGTATTGTTCAGGAGGAGCCGACGGGATCTGTTCTTCTAAATAACTGTTCTTGTATGAACTTGAGAAGGAATTTTCGAGCTACAATGTTGACAATCTCAAAAGCAAATGTGGCACCCTTCCTTTTTTWAAATAATTTTGTTCCTGGCAAACGTTTTTAAGGTTAAAAAAGGCTTATATAACGTTTTTATGGTAAAAAAACTGCTTACATTTTTTTTAGGTAGGAAATTTTTATTTTCCTGGCAAAAATTCTTAGAAAGTAGCTCCTTGCCTGGAGAGTATTTTTTCCTGAATTTCTCGCTGGCAAAAAGTTGTGACTTACAGGTGGCTGGGACATAAGAACAGATATATTTCTCCCAGGAACCCGTCGGCTCCTCCTGATTGTTATGAGTGGAGCATATCATATTCGGCTAAAAGATCTTTACTAACGTCACTTTCTTCTCTGTTCAAGGTGTTTGGATTTTAACTTAATCGAGGTGATACCTGATGACTTACTAATCAACCAAAGGAATCTCAAAATACTGTGAGTTCTAATAACTACAAACATTTCATCACTGATAGTTACACGAATCATTACGACATTCAGTTTACCATGACACCATTATGTCCAACTCAAGGGCGGATCCTAAGGGGTGGAGATGATTAGGGTAGCCACGCCCTCTTTCTAGGATTCAAAAAGTTGAAATGGAAATTATGCTAGGTTAAGGTGGATCATCAACTAGAAAATAATATCAAATATCCGATTTAGTATTTTTCCTATGATGATTCGCCTTAATTCAGTAAAAAAGTCTATCYGTTTGACACTCATTTAGAACACAGCTAAAGCAGCGTTCATCGTTCAGAAYACAACTAAAGCAGTGCTCATCTGAAAGAAGTTTWATTTCCMCACCCCTAAATCTATCCTTTTAATATWTTTTTACGTTAAATCCCAACCCCTCCACTACTTAGGTTGGTGCATTGCTTATGGTTTTTAGCACTGCGTGATTTATAATCTCTGTATTTTTGCATTAGATATTTGAATGACAACAAAATAAAGAAGATAACCCTTAACACATTCAAGGGGCTTGATTCCATTGAAATATTGTGAGTACAAATCTTGATTAGAGATCATCAGTTGATCCAACAACTGATCAGTTTGCGGCAAACAACCCGCTGATTTGTTTCTGTTTTGTAATAATCTTTGAAATGTGTGACTGTCCCCTCTTGGGTGAACTGCAATGTTGGTGAACTTCTTGATCTGTGCTGAGATGACTTCTAAAACTCGGCAACTATTTCACCCTTGGCAAACGACACAGAACATTAATAACTGCTAATTTACTAATAATTTTGCTAATGATTATTGTATTTTGTTGGATTGTTTGGAGATTAAGGCCTTTTTTATTACCAACAGGTTTTTACAGAACAACGATGCACTAGAATCTCCTCCTGAAGCGCTCACCGGTCTTAAAACACTGAAACGACTGTACGTATTAAATATCATGTATGTTTGAGGTCTCGTTCATACGAGTCCAGAGAGTTTTGTTTCCGTGTACAGTAGACACCAAGCGTACTGTGTGGACACGTGCAGATACTACGCTACACACAATTTCTGGACTCGTGTGGACCGGTTCTGAAGTATGCTGATTATGACAGTGACGCGACACGCGCGTTGCTACATTCCTTCCTTGAAAACATTTGCTCATTTGAACCATACTACTGAGTAACTATGTTTGAACATGAAGTCAAAGAGGTTCCTCACAATTGTTTCCATACAATGAGAAATAATTCTTCTTACTGAGAAGTGGAAAACAATGGCATTCTTATTTTGTTAATCATTATAAACACTAAAATGTCTCTTGTGATAAATTTAGAAAAGTCGACGATTTCTTCCTCTGTTGCCATGCCGACAAAGCAATTCCAGGAGTGCAGTGCGAGTCCCCAAAAGACTACTTCTCGAGCTGTTCTGACTTGATGAAGAATCGAACCCTTCAAGTGTTTATATGGATACTTGGTCTTTCTGCATTACTAGGGAACGTTTTTGTAATTTTCCTTCGTGTGAAAGCTAAAGACGACAACAAAGTCCACTCGTTCTTGCTTACAAATCTTGCATTCGCTGACTTACTAATGGGTGTCTATATGATGTTCATCGCTGTGAAAGATGTTCAATTTCAAGGAGAATATTTCAAGCATGATCATAGCTGGAGAAATGGAAGTGTTTGTAGAATTGCTGGAGCATTATCGTTACTGTCCAGCGAGGCTTCTGTGATTCTACTCACAGTAATAACTGCTGATCGACTWAAAAACATCGTTTTCCCATTTCGCGGCAGGAAACTTTCTTACAATGGTGCRCGTAATATTACAATAGTATCATGGTTTGCATGCATCATAATGTCTATTCTTCCAATGGTAGAACTGCCATATTTCTACGACAAGACTCGTCGTGTTGGCTACTATGGWCGRTCAGCRTTGTGTCTTCCACTGCAACTTACCAAGGACAAACTAGCAGGCTGGGAGTACTCGGTGTCCATCTTTATCGTTCTTAACTTAGTATCGTTTGTTTTCATACTGTTTGCTTATGTACTSATGTTTATAACTGTTTCACGGTCWTCACGAACCGTTCGGTCATCGTCCGTGAAGAAGGAATCCCAGCTTGCTAAGAGAATGGCTTTTATCATYGCTACAGATTTCTGTTGCTGGGTTCCTGTTATCGTTATTGGGATTTTRTCTCTACTTGGTTTATTTCATGATCCTGAGCAGACTGCGTACGCGTGGCTAGCTGTGTTTGTTATACCAGTCAATTCTTCAATCAATCCGTTTTTATATACACTATCGACGTCCTTGTACATTAAGAAGATCATGAACAACAAGGTGGCTACGTCTTTAGCCTTAAGGCAGATATGTAAGTACCGTATTTGAATTTCACGGTACCCGTCGTTACAATCACCCACTTCGAAAAAAATTCATCAAAATCCCGACCCCCGGAGCAATCTCGCTGTTAAAAGCACGTTCAAAACGCGTCACGTCCCCGTTCAGTGCCCCGCTAGTCCCGGGGGTCGGGGGGCGGATGTTTCAATAGTCAGTGCATTGTCGCTTCAAAAGTAAGAGTAAAGACAATATRGCTGACTGAATYTCCCCYCTGCTCTCTTATTTCCTATATTTTCCATGGACAACCCTATTGAAACAACCTGTATGAACGCAGRGAATTCKTGTTATGATARACRAATATTTATGGGTTTCTTTTCAGCGATATTTACGAATAACAACTCGATTATGCCATCTGAGGGCAACATCGTTTCAACTTTAAAGAACCAAAGGGAAATTAAAGAGAAWAAGCTGAGTACCAAACAACTACGAGTCGATAATCAAGAAGCGTGGCGCAGTAACGACACGGACACTACGGTGAGACAAAATAATCGAAGCCGGTGTAGACTGCGATTTTATAGAGTGCGTCAGATTGCACGCACGTTGTGTTATGTATCTTTATTCTCTTTGTTTCATGGGGTTACGAAGACCAGTCTGAACCCCGTGAAATAAAATATAATAGTAGGAATAATAGTCAAACAGAAACAAAAGAACATACTAGAGCCAGCAAAATTCAGTGCTAAGGTGGATTTGTCTGATATATTTCATGGGTTTATGGACACGACTCTATTCCTCGTTTATTACTTTATATGCACGTACGAACGCGACAAGACACGGACATGACACGACACGGTACGGACACGACACGCCACGACACGACACGACACGCTACGACACGGACATGACACGGCACGATACGACACGCCACGACACGCCACGCTACGACATGGACATGACACGGCACGATACGACATGAACATGACACGACACGAAACGGACATGACACGACACGGTACGAACATGACGCGACACGACACGGACATGACACGACACGGGCAAATAGCATCACCGTAACGCTACTGTAAGGTCTCGACACGAAAGCCTTTACGAAAATCACACAGCCTTACGAAATCCGCTCTAAATAACTTCCGGGTTCTCCRCCGTCTCTATTTGGCAGTATATTCCAGTGGCGGGTCTAGGAGGTTTCATTTCATGTACGGGCACCCTCGTAGTTCACCAATACAYTGACACACTTCAGCCAGTGTCTCAAGTGGCTAATCCAGATTTTGTTATATATGTTTGAAATCATCTCTAATGGTGCAACCCACGAGTAAAAACTGTCGATCCTGGATACGCCCTGTATTCTATTAACTGTACTGAATGTAAAAATTCAATATATATCAATATATACGTCTGTCAATGATTAATAATCGATCCTGTCTTTCACTATCTTTAGGACATGAAGGAAAWCAAAACCAAAGAGTGACAATGGCATGAATGCAGATCGTGTGAGCTCAGGCCATATATAACTGCACTTTACATGAAACACAACTGTTGATAAAACTGATATATAAGAGGATATTCCCTAACAAATCGATCCTCGTAGCTGTGGCTGGTTATTACCGTCTATCAAACGCTCCTGCGTTACGTTACCTTAGAGCGGATTTCGTATGAGTGGGAAACGCACGGTACTGTACTGTGACCGTAATCGTACTGTAACCAAATTCTAGTGCCCCATTGGTTCACCAAAATTGTGAAGGCCAGGTCCGGTAACTGTGCGGTAACCGTGCGGTAACGGTGTCCCACTCATACGAAATCCGCTCTATGTTTACGTTACCTCTACTGTGTACATACAGTCTTTAGAATTGCCCGATTAATAATGCTACAAGTCAATGGCACAGTAAAACCTAGTGTATACGAACATCCATTTTTGAAGTTCATACTGATTTTAAACTTATTCAGTCCGACCTAGTCCGACTTCACGCTCTAAGAGCGTCTAGTTCTTATTGGGTGCTCTTCACTCACTTGTTCTTATATGTGGGTTTTTACTGTTTTTAAGATCATGATGTGATTATCCAAAATGTAATTCTTAACAATAATAAAATATGTACAAGTCGACAACCACACGAGTCTTCATTATTGTAGCTTTGTGAATAAAMATTGACTTTTTTCTTCTTTCCCATAAGCCTATATATTGTTCTCGTTGTAATGAAGGTTTTCATGATCAAAAGTGGCGCGCTTTTGTTAAGGGAGTTGACTTATCCGTTTCATGGGAGTATCCAGGATTCTTCATATAGCAACCTCGTTCCCATATCCTTAGCTTCGTTTGGGGTCAGACGCTTGAGACTGCATGAGGCCTGGGAATGAGGTTGTTAAATGAAGGTCCTCCTAACTTACAAAATTCCCACTATGACGTTGATGGCATGAATCAACAAGAATCARATTTCGATTTTTGCTTTTTTGAGATTTATACACCATGCAATCCACCGTCTACATTTCTGCCCAAATTTCACTATTGACAAACTGAGGATCTTTCTCGGAGTAAAAACGTCTTTGTTTTCATTTTCTTAGTATTGTGTAGTACAACCAAATCCTTGGGGCACTGATTTTGAAATCAATTATGTCCCATGCCACGCGTCTGGTCCAAATTATTGAAGTTACAAAGAAAATATTCCAGTATGCGGTCCAACAGTGCTCATAGGAAAAGCAGTGAGCCATTCCGTTTGCCTCAAAACAAACTTACAATAGCGCCTTATAGCTTACTAAGAATGCCAAATTATTGAGACCTAATCAAAGGAAAGTGTCAATAATCTATATTTCGATATTTCTTTTATGCCTTACAGTAAAATCCAGCAGTCCAGTCCAACGCCACTTTAATATTCCTTGACATGTGACCCCATGATCCCTTGCGGCAACACGCGGCAAAATCAAAATGGTGRATGCGTTCTTGGTGAGAAGTGGAACAAAATTTCGCTTTTTGCATGGTAAGTTTAGCTTAAAATAACTCCAGATGTAGTAGGATTATGTGTAAGACTTTTTTCTATCGTTTTGGTAGTATTTTTTTTTATTATTTTGTCAAAAAMGTATATTTTTTGAGCATTTCAATTCTAAGGTTGTGGGTCGTTTGAATCCCACGTGGCCATACTTCACACCTTTTAAGGCCTTTTAAAAAAACAAACATTCTATTGTTTTCTGTAGAAAAGGCATTGCTTATTGCTTTAAAAATCTTATAAAATCATATTGTATACTTATGAGATATGCTTTTAAGTTTTTCTTTGCATTTATTTGTTTTTATTTTGCAGAAACTGAGTTGCGTTTTGAGGTGGATCGCTGCTGTCAAAATTTGGAAACATTTCTCTGAAAACCTTCGAGTTTTGATTGGATTTCCAACTGAACACCATCCTAGACAACTGCAAAAGAGATTAGACAAAGTGGTGAGCTACTAAACCGGGCCGTATGTGTGTTGTGTTGGTGAGTACATGAATTATTTTGTGGCTGTTTTGCGTTTGGTGTCGCTCAGCTGTTTAGCTGTGAAACTACAAAATTGACCGTTTTTRCAAGGAAGTTTTGATTTTTATATTTACTAGGAATTGTTTGTCTTTATATGGAATGCAGTAATTGTAGCATTAATATAGATTATCTAAGATATGGTCAACATTTGGGGAAAATAGCAGGATTGATTGTTTGAAGGGGTTTGTACTGCAGGGGGTGGGGTGGGTGGGGTTGGAAGTGGTGAAGGGTATAAAAGCTTTGAACACTAACACAGCTCACACCAAGTTGTAAATTAAAGTGAAAAAAAAATTCTTTTTTTGTTTTAATTATAAGATTTCAAGTTTTTCAAAAAAGAATGTGCAAATGAAAAAAAATAAAAGAATGGTTGATGGATTAAAAAAATGAAGTTATGCGAGTAAAGATGTGTTAGTGAAAACTGACTGAAATAAATATTTTTGAGTTTAATACCTATTTATAAATTGTTGATTTTACTATGATTATGTTATGTCATGAAATGTTGCAATCATGTTTTGAGTTATAAAGTTGTATATTGCATGTACATGTATAAAAATTAAATGCTCAAGATTTTTCTCAACATATTCTAACATTTGCACAAAGTGTGCCAAAGTACTGTATTTACACAAATCCTCTTTCTAAAGAAGGTGCATAATCTGCATTTCTACATCAAAATGGTGCTGTCCAAAAAGAGATATTTCAGGACATAGACCAGAGTTATTGTTTAAGGTCAAAGTCCTTTGATGAAATCTGAGCAGATTTTTTCAAAAATGGGCATTTTTTCCTTTTCAAAATTGCTGAATAAAAAGCGGGAATTGCTTCTCAATGATCTACTTCTTTTTTTACAAACATCAAGCTTTCTCTTGGTTGAAGCCAAGCATTCAAAGCACTCAGTCTCTAATCTTTGTTCAATTTTTGACACTCCCAAGAAAAGATCTTTTTCAAGATTCTTCAAGGGGCAAAATACATTTTTTTCCCATTGTATTTTAAATATGCAATGGTTTGGATATTATTAACCAACAAAAAAGATTTTAAGAAGAAGAAGAAGCACTGTTGAAGTTTGTTGGGCAATCAGTTTTTTTATACTCAYAACAGTCATTATATTAATTTATACTCTTGGGCATGAATTAACTTTCTTTTCTTATTTTCCCTATCTTCAAACTCTTTAAAATTCAAAAAGTAATAAAGTTGTATGTTACATGTATATAAAGTGAATGCTCAAGATTTTTCTCAACATATTTTAACATCTGCATTTTCACAAATTAATCCTCTTTCTAAAGAAGATAATACATCAAATAGTTCTACATCAACATGGTGCTTTAATTTGTAAAAGAGATTGTTCAGGATAAAAACCAGATTTAATGTTAAGTTCGTTACAGATAAAATCTGGACAAATTTTTTTTCACAAAATGGGCATTTTTCCTTCTCAAAATTGCTGAATAAAAAGTGGGACTCAATGATCTACTTCTTTTTCTACAAACATCAAGTTTTCTCTTGGTTGGTTTAAGCCGGAAGCCATTTACAGTGTTCCATCTTGACACTCCAAAGAATGAATCTTTCACAAGATTCTACAGAAACTTCAAGGAGAAGTATTCAATGTATTCAAAGATTTCAAGAAGAAGAAGAAGCACTGTTGAAGTTCAAGGTCCTGGGCAATTAATTTTTTTGATATTCAAAATAATTTTTTTATACTCTTGGGCATTTAACTAAAATGGACTTTCTACCAAAGGCCATTATTTTCTACTCTTCCTTGTCTTCAAACTCTTTACACTTCCAGTCTTGAGGAAATTATTTTCCGCTATATGTATGGCTAGTTTGAAACATCCTCAGAATCTTTTAAAGTGCTCAGTTGTACAAGTATTCACATTCATTCTTTCTTTTTTCAATAATGAATAATCAGATATTCCAAGGAAGCAGACATCATGTAATCCAAATAAAATAAAAAAGTGCATCTTCATGTTTCAAAATTTCATTTCTAAAGACTATAAACAAATTCTTTTCAAAAGAGTAGTATTATCAAGACTTTATGTTTTAACAATCATGGATTATATTTGAACACTATTTCCCAGTTTTTGCTTTCTGGATAACTTTGAATGTCAGGGGAATCCAGTGTTTGAAAAGATCAGAAAACGTCATAAATATAAAGCATCTTTGCAAGTTTTTGTGCATACAGTAGATAATCTATTGCACCTGTCTTTGATCTCAGTGATTACATTTAGTTCTTAACAACAACTGCAACAAAAGATGATGATTGTGTCACCAACAACGTCAGTAGATGGGGAAACAGCTGCACATTTTTATAGAGTTTTGACAGAGCCTCTGTCAGAACAGGTCTACTGACAGAATGAATTCAATCGTTATAGTACACATCCATCACTTGCATTGTGGACTTCTTATTGCATCTGTCTGAGATTTTTTACAATTAAAAACTTTTCTAAAAGCTTATTACTTTTTGGGAATATACGTAATGCATATACAATTTGAAATCATGCACTATCCATAACAACTTTTAAATGATCTTTGATCAGTTTCAATTAAATAAATGGCTATTAAGTTATTAAACATTTTTGGAGTTACACATGCAAAAAGAAAAAAAAAAAAAACAACAACAACAACAACAACAACAAAAACAGTGCAGTCTCAAACCATCAAGGAGATATGTAGTTGCTGACAACAGTCTCAAGCCTAAAGTCCAGTCCTTCCAATTCTCAAGGACAGGAGTAGCTGACAATCCCAAGTCTTTGTGCAGCAGTAACAAATAGTCTCAAACATCAAGCAAAGGGGTGTTTCCCAGGCACATGGATTCATGTAGTTTTCAGTAGTCATTCTCAAACCTAAAGTACTGCAGTAATTGAAAACACCAAGCTCTGCAGTTACTGATACCATCAAGGCACACTTTCATACAAAAAAGACAGGCTGAATCCTCAAGACAAGAAGTACCCAGATATCTCAAACCCTGAGTTCAGCAGCAGTCAACATATCACAGCTAAAACAAACAATGACAAATCTTATGTACAGTATTAAAAGAAAACCAAAGCAGTGGTTTAGTYGTCTTTAATCTTCAAATAGAATTTCAATATCAAGCACAAAGAACAACAGCAATTGATACGTTCACGCTTCAACTATGACCATTGATAACTAGCAGAGCCAGACTTATCACAGTAGTATTTGTCATTCTCCAGCCATCACTAACAGTCTGAACCTTGAGTGTAGCACACCAGTCTGAAGTTTCAAATGCAGCAGTACCTACCAGTTTCAATCCCAAAGTACAGCACTAACAGTCTAAAGCCCTGAGTGCAGCAGTTAGCCACCAGTCTGAAGTCTCAAATGCAGCAAGAACTACCAGGCTTCATCCTCCAGTACACCACTAACAGGCTAAAGACTTGAGTGCAGTAATTATCTACCTGTCTTAAGTCCCAAGTACAACAGTACCTGTCAGTCTGAAGTCCCAAGTGCAACAGTACCTGCCAGTCTGAAGTCCC